TTTTACTCCAAATCCACGTCCATCTGTCGTTTCAAACAAGCACAACGCAGGCTTGTCGTCTTCATCAAAGTTCCAGCTCGACTTAATATACGGAAGCGGGAATTTCTCAAAGTGAAGGTTCCGTTGTATCGTAGTGTAGGAGGCCACAACGTTCCCTAGTCTTCCGGTGGGTGTTTGCTCCTTAATTTCCTCCTGCTTAACATTCTTGGCTTCCAAATCGCCTTCACCACCGTCTTCAATGCTCCCTTCAACGTTCTCGTTACACGCTTCCCGACGTTGTTCGACGTCATCGTCGTTCTTGGCTTCCAAATCGACTTCCACACCGCCTTCAGTGCTCTCCTCACTGTACTGTTCGGTAATCTCGCCGATCTTCGATTCAGTATCATCATCATTAGCATCGTCTTTAATGTATCCACGCGATCGATAGTAGCGAATTCGCATTTGATTTCTTGCGAAATTCTCTGTAAGACCTCTCTTTTTCTCTTTTTCGATTCGAATACTCGCGCAGTAGCGCCAGCTTCTCCTCCCTTGTCAAAGTCTCTGCTTGCATGGCTCTTTTAATTGGCAGGGCCGCGCTACCGGAAGAAATAAAGCGGTCATCGGAGCCGTGGCTGCGTCGGAAGCGTTTCTTCTTAGGACCCACTTTCCGCTTGTTGTCTTGAGCTGATAGAAATCAATTGAGCTCTGCGACGGCTGTAGTATGATAGTCAACAACTGCAGTTAGTCATCAACTATCAATCAACAACTATAGTCAGCAGTCGAGATGCCTTTCTTCGAAGTAACACATTTGAGTAATACAATTGAGAGTATGAATTACCGGTAGAGTGCAGTGCAGTTTGTGTACAAGTCGTGTGGTGTGACCGTGATCGTGACCGTGACCGTTGGGCCATGTTGCGACAATAATACACAGTTCTTTCGAACTGCGAATTGCAGCTGCCAGAGTTGTCGCGTGTGAAAGTGGGCATGGCCAATCTGTTCATCAAGCACACGTCTGCGTCGTTCAGCTCGACACTTCGGCCGGCATTGACGCGTCGGGTGCACGGCACCGCGTCGCTGCTACAGGTTGCCAATGTCTCCAGTAGTTCGCCTATCTCTTCTCAAGACGATGACAAAGGTCTAGTTCGACTGGCAAAGCTGATGGCGCAGAAGGGCCTGTGTTCAAGACGTGAAGCGGAAGCGTACATCCAAGCTGGAGATGTATTGGTCAATGGTGAACGTGTTCAGGCCGATTGGCTAAAGGTGCCTGCGGAAAGCGATGTCCGTCTGGACTTCCGAGCTCAAAGACACCAAAACAAGAAGGTAACGCTGGTGTTGAACAAGCCCTTGGGCTATGTGTCGTCTCAACCGGAGGACAACAAGACTCCAGCCGTCCGATTGCTTACCTTTGAAAACGAATGCCAAGAGCTGAGTCGCGTAAAGCCTCGACAGAATGTGGAGCCTGTGGCGCTGTGGAAGATGGCAGTCTGTGGCCGTCTGGACGTTAATTCGACGGGACTGCTGCTATTTACTCAGGACGGGACGGTAGCGAAGAAGTTGTTGGACCCCAAGGGCGGGATCGAGAAGGAATACCTCGTGCGTGTGGATCTCAACTTGGATCCGTTGACAGACAAGATCCGCAGGAAAATTGAGGTACTGCGAGCGGGCGTCACGTCGGATGAGGGTATTACTTATCGCGCCAAGTCGGTGGAGATCCTAAACGCCAATCAACTGCGAGTGATTCTTACGGAAGGTAAGAACCGACACATTCGCCGTATGTGTGAACATGTCGGACTGCGTGTGATGGCACTCAAGCGTGTACGCATTGGTGGCGTGAAGCTTGGCTCACTGCCTGTTGGGCAGTGGAGATACTTGCAACCGAATGATAAGCTTTAGAGTGGAAGACATACACTTTGTAATGGACTTAGATGTTGATGAATACTCAAATGGCTTGGTTATTCGAACTCATGGAGGCAGGCTGCATCGATCTATATAACAAGCAACGTTAGCACGCCGTAAAAGTATCGCAGTAAGGCACAGCGCAGTGCATCACCTTGTGCTCCTTCGTAAAGCGAACTCCTTCCTTTGCCAACAGTGTCCGCTTCTTCTGGATGCAAGGCGAATCCTCTCCAGTTGCACCTACATAATAAATATCGTGTTCAGCCTACACCCTTTATCCAATATCTTCTCAAAGTAGCACCTTGAAAGCCTCCAATGTCAAGCGTAGCAGCCACGACGCGGTGACACGGAACCTCGGGGGCGAATGGATTCTTCTGCAATAGTTGCAATCCAACACCGTAGTTAGAAAACTGATTCAGCTTCTGCAAACATCTGCAGCGCCACGTACACGTAAGGCTTGGCCGACGCATCGTGGTCCAGAGTGAAGTGCTTGCGCCACGCCGCCGTAGGTGCTCACCTTGCCTGCCGGAATCTGCAGTTGAATGGTTAGTGAAACCACTATCGTCTCTGTAAGGGCTGCAGCACTCGTACCTTTGAAATGAGCTCGTACACTCGCGATTCTATCTCGCACAAAGCACAGTAAGCCAAATGTAAGTTTAGACATCACCAAGTAACAGTGAATGGCAGACAATCCTCACCAAACTCCGTGATCTGCTTGCCTCGCCACAGAATGTGCAGCGTCGCCTTGGACTTGCTCTTCATCGTGACACCAGGCTTGCGCTTTTGCACTGTCTTCGCTGGAGTTTTCTTCGTCTTCAAGCTGCGAACCGTCATCGTACGTCGTAGCAAAATCGATTGTGAAGATGCTGACCAGTCCCACGTTCAAGTTGGCGCCAAGTATCGAAAGTCGCGCATGCAGTGGCGCCAAGATGAAATTAAGCACATGAATAACATGACAGTCATTCGATCGCAGATATTGTAATGCTCTCAAGTAACAGAGATTCTCTACAGCCAGGACATTTAGTGATAGCGTACGCATGGTGTAACCTTTCTCCTCGCTTTCCTGTTTCTCTCTGCTCTTGCGGCTATCCTGTATCGGACGAGAGTGCCTAACAATCTACCG